AGACTCCAGCGGTGGGCGACAGGAAAAAGACTTCGTCTTTAAAAAAGAGAAAAAGAAAAAAAACGAAAACAGCGCTAGTTGTAGACTAAACCACAGAGAAATGATTCAGGAGGCGCGTAACTAGTCTTTTCTTAAAATGAGTGATAAGTAAAAGTTGTGTATGGTTTATTTTGGTGTTAAAAAGGATGTTCTTGTGATGGATATACATTGTGAGAGTGCAAGCAGGTATTTGCACCAGCGCCTTACCTCAGCCACCGTATCATTGTGGCTGGCAGCAATAGGCTACCGAGAGGAGCGCGCAGTGCGCGTCAGCAGAGGAGCGGGCGCGAGCTGTAGGAGACCGGATGGTTGCACAATGATCGCCCTTGATCGTACGCTGTAACTGACATGTTGTTGACTTGACCAACACTCGCGCCAACCGGTCAGCGAGTGCCACCCCGGCCTCGGTCACCAACCATTTCTACGCTGAGTTGGATTTTGTTAAGAACTCCCAGTATGGATCATGTTGAGTATTTGGCTTTTTTTGCCTGCCTTGCACTGTAGGGGTAGGTTCCCCGCAGGTTCACTCGTGTTGTCACAAATGCAGGGATGTTCTTTCGTTGTTTTTGAGGCTTGAGTTTTGCTCCATTGCCCGGCTGGAGGCAATGCCGGTCTCGCGCACTCTGCAGGACCTCCACGGTCCGGTTCAGCGATGTCCTGCTCAGCCTCTGAGTAGTGGATTAGGCACTCGCCACATCTGGGCTATTTGGTATTTAAGTGGGTGGGTTGATCGCCATGATTGAGCAGGTTGCTCTCGAACTCTGACCTGAAGTGATCACTCCCCTCAGCCTCAGAAGTGCTGGGATTTTAAAGGCGCAGCCATGCGCCTGCCAGGATTTCTTTTTTAAAGGCGAGATAGTGGTGCCCGATGGTATTACAGACCACAGTTTTCTTCATCCATTGAGCCACGGCGATGGCAACTGTCGCATGTGTGCTCGCTTACTGTGAATAAGCGCTGCAGTGACACATGGGCGACACTCTCTGACACAGATCATTTCCTTTGCATTGGTACCAGGAGTGGATGCGATGCTGATGTTACGATAGTCCTATTTTTGGTTTTCTGAGAACCCCCAGTGTCTTCAGAACGTGTGTAATAACCGCAATGCCACCAACAGAGGTGCGGGTTACCCTTGTCTCCACATCCTGCCACACTTCTCTCCATCTTTTTTCCCTACCTGAGAGAAGGCGCGCCCATCCTAGAAGGTGTGAGGGTGGTTTCCAATGGCCTTTCCCTGGTGATTAGTGAGACGTGAACATTTTTTCGACATGGCTGTTGGGTCTTTATGTGTGGTCTTTTGAGTTACTTTTTAACCTTGTATTGTGGGTTTCGTTGGATGTTTGGCGATATTAACCCCTTAGGTCAGAGAACATGGTTTGCAAGCGTGCTCCCATCCGCGCAGCTCGCCTAACTCTGCTGACTTGCTCCTTGGCTGCTGGTTCACACATGTTTAACAAGAGGGGCTGAGGACGATGCTGACCAGCAGAGCCACTGAATGTGGGCCAGTGCCAACTCAGTGTTGCATTGCTAAGCGCCCTCCACAGGCTAGAAGCAGGCCAGGCCACTTCGGGACACACACGAGGCGACACCATTCGAGCTCCTGGTGTGTTCTCCAACCCAGGCCCTCCCAGCATCCCCAGGAGGAATTGCAGAGCCACGCACTCCCACCCCTCCCACTCGCGGTGTACACAGCGTACACTTGGTGTCTTGGAAAGCACACAGAGCAATTCTAGGACCGAGAGAAGACAACTTCCGATACGCTTGCTGGGCGTTGGATGAGATCCCCGGGGCCTTCGCTTGCCTAGTCTTGAGGGGCCACCGACGTAGGTGGTGGGGCTCGTCGGGTTCCGTTCTGCCCAGCCCCAGTGACCTCGAGGCTACAGCCTTGCTTCCCGTACCACTGCAAGCGCCACGGGGAGGAGGCCTGGAGTCAGTGTCTCTGCTACCCCACCCTCCCAGCGGCCTCTTGAAAGCCAGGCAGTCAAAACCACGGGTTGAGGGGTGTGTGCTCGAATCAACCAGCGGCGCCGAAGGGTCGCAGATGGGGTCCACACGGGGCTAGGGGAAAGTGGAGGCTGAGGAGCCATGTTTCTTCACAGCCGCCCCAATTCCCCTTGCTCTTATACGCGTTTCCGCTAGGTGCGGTTGAGTCCTTCATAGCTTAGCGCGCTTCCCGGTTCCTTGCTTTCTCAAGGAGGAGCTCAGTCTGCACATCCGTTTTAAGAGGGTGGCATAAGCTGGAACGCGGTTGGCAAAACGCCGGACCGCTCTAGAGCTGGAAGTGCGCAAGAGCAGAGTGCTCTGACCCCACTCGGCCGCCACCCTTACTCTGAAGGGGGCAGGAGCCCAGCTGTGGACAGTTCGCGAAGTGTGACAAGAAGACGCAGTTTAAGCAGCCAGTGCCACTCACATTTAGCTGTTTTTTTTAAAGTTAGAAGCCTGTACAAAAAAAAAAAAAAAATCCACAGGATCACAAATGAATCCTCACAACACCCCTGTGAGGTAGGTAGGCAAGTATTATTCTCCCATTTTACAGATATGGGGAAACTGAGGCAGAGAGGTGATGTGATCAGCCAGTGGTCCCAGTTCAGCTGAAAGTCAGAGCCAACCATGAGAATACAAATGATCCCTCCCCATTCAGTCCCATCTCTGACTCCGCATCTAGACCTTGTCTGCAAAGAAATTAAAACTTTCAATTCATGCAAAAATAAAAACAATAAACCTGAAAAGGTAGTGAACAGACATACAGTAGTTCTGCAAAAGAATTCAGCCAAGGGGGTCAAATATTTTCCAATACTGGGTAAATGGGAACAACTTCGGCCTCCTCCTCTTTTCAAACATCATGACCAATGGCACATCCTTTTTTTTTTTTTTTTTTTCTTTTTTTCCCGCAGAAGTACACGATCCTAACCAAAGACAGGCTTTCCTGGTCCCAGTGAGCCAAGCAAGGTGGACAGCCTCCTCACTGTTCAGCTCCCGGGTTTCAGCAAGCACCAGTCCCAGCTGGAAGAGCTGCAAGACCCAACTCAAACATGGCACTTCTCTACCACCTGCTCCCAGCAGCCCTCCCGCTGTGTGGACAGAGTGGATCCCAGCAGCCTCCCGCTGTGTGGACAGAGTGGATCCCAGCAGCCTCCCGCTGTGTGGACAGAGTGGATCCCAGCAGCCTCTAACTCAGCACGGTCTGGCCTTTTCTGCTTCCACCAGGAGGCAGGCTCAAAGATGCTCAGCAAGGACAGCCTGGAACCCAGGTGATCCCCTCCCACCACCCTCAGTGCACCCCTGCACACCTCACTGTCCATGAGGACCACCCCAGCAACCGCCCTTGGCCAGCACTCCTTGGGGCTCCTGCTGCAGCAGGTGGGGGCACCAGGCCATCCTGGGCTGCTGGGACAGGGAGAGGTGCCGGGGGACCTGCATCTCCAGGCCGTGGCTTCCTCTGTGCCTCCTGCCCAGGTTCCCAGGCAAGTGGAGCAGGCCTCTTCCACTGTGCTGCGTCCGCATCCTGGAAGCTCTTTCCTCCCCGAGAGGGGCTCCCCAAGGTCTCCAGCTCCTTGAGAAACCTCCACCATCCTGCCAGCCCCACCAGGCTGGGTAGGTGTTCTTCCTGCAGTCTCCCAGGTTGGAGATGCGAGCATGAGAGTCCAGAAAACTGGGTGAAGCTGCCTTTCACATAATAGGTCTATCCAGAACACTGTCCCCTCCACCCACCTCAGGCTGCGAGACGCCCGAGGGCAGTGCTTGGGCAGCAAGAAGGGGAGCGGCAATGGCAGAGCAGCCGGAGTAAGGAAGTGGGGAGCTACCAGTGGCTGGGTCTGCTCTGTGCCAGGGGCTGCCAGGCCAATCTGAGAGCAGGGAGAGGAGGACAAAGAGATCCACAGTGTCTGGCAACTGGGGGAGTGAGCTCCTTGGAGGCCAAACGCCAGCCTGTTTGCAGGTGCACACAGCAGAGTGTGCACCTTGTGAGCACTCCAGTGAGTGCTGCTCCCTGGAGGTCAGCCACACACCTTGGTGGTTTGCAAGGGATGGCTGTGCTGTCTCCCTGTCCTATAAAAAGTTCTTTCTAAAAAGGCTCCCAACTCCGCCCAGTCTCTCTAGGAAGCAGGGGAATCATTTCCTCAAGACCAGCACCCCTCAGGGCCACTCCCAGCCAAGAGCACCTCAGACACCCCAGGCCCGCGTGGGGCCCTATGGGTGGGGGACAGGGAGTAGGTCCCCCTACAGCAAGTCCTCGGGGGCGGAGGGCTCGAGGCAGCAGCTCTGCGCCTGCCACCGGTAGCGCAGCCTGGAGAAGGGCTGGTCCTCCCCGCTCTCCAGCTCGGGGAATCCCAGCTCGTTGAGGATCTCATAGATGCCAGCCTTCGATGCCACCTGGGAAGAGAGCAGAGGCAGGGGCAGTGTTTCAGGGGAGGGAGGATGCCACCCAGGCCACTGAGTTCTGAAGATGAGTCTGTGGCCCGTGAACTTGGTGACCTGAACAAGTTTGCACCTTGACTTCTGTTAACTTCTCTGGGCCTCAGTTTCCTCATAGGAAGGAAAAGGCTCTACCTCACAGGACTGTCTCGAGGAGGACTCTACACATACAGAAGTACTGGGCAGACAGTGAGTGCTCCATGCAGAGAGCAGCAAGGGAGGCCGGGCACACGCTGGGCCCTGTGTGGCTCAATGCTCCCGCATGGATGCCCAGGAGCAGGCCTGCAGAGGGCTGGAGGAGGAACACGGATGCCCAGGAGCGGGCCTGCAGAGGGCTGGAGGAGGAACACGGATGCCCAGGAGCGGGCCTGCAGAGGGCTGGAGGAGGAACACGGATGCCCAGGAGCGGGCCTGCAGAGGGCTGGAGGAGGAACATGGATGCAGGGGCAGGTAAGGCTATGGCCTCTGCCCCAGTTGGCCCCCCGGACGCTCAGGCCTGTCGCCCAGCAGCCCAGACCCTGGCGCCAGACTCAAACCATCCACAACCAGTCCCCTTCTTTCTCCACCGTCCTGGGGGTGGGGAGGGTGCAGCCTCCACTTAGAACAAAGGAATGGGTCCGTCCCGCTCTGGCCCTGGGGCCGCCCTCACTGCCACCCTCCACTCATCCGCAGGAGAGAGGGGCTGAGGTCCCCTGAGGATGGAACCCACACTTCGGCCTGGACTGGCAGCCCTCCTTCTTTGACCTCCCCCAGTAGGGGATTCAGCTGGGGAGGGGATCAAGCTTCCTCTCGGCCCCAGATTCCCCCAGCTTCCGCTCTCCAAGCAGAACCAAGCAGGAAGTGTCCTCATCCCCTTCCACCTCCACCCCTCCCCAGCGGCTCACAGAGGAAGCTGAGCCCAGGCCTGCTCAAGAGGGTGGCCCCGACATGGCCTTGGTGTGACCACATCAGGTCTCCTCACTCAACACACATCACATGCACCGGGGGCATTTCAAATGCTTCTCCACCTAACGACCTGAGGCCCACCCTCAAAGCCTGCCACTCTGCCTCCACTCCTTCACAGCCCTGAGTCCACCTCACACCTGCCTCAGTCTCCGTACCCTTCCTGTGCCCACTCTGGCCGGGTCACCAGCCCCTGCTCTTCACCCACCCACTTCCCAGGAGCTAATTCCAGCCTCTAGTCCAGATTAGAACTGCCAGGATCTGCTGGTGAGGTCTGGAGGGGCCAGCTTCCTGGCAGAGGAGTAATTACAGGCCGCTTTGCCAAGGAGGGAAGGAGGCCTCTCTTCTGACCTAGAGGTGCCAAGGTGGCAGCTCTGCCTCTAAAACAGCCAAGTGGAAGACGAGCCAGGAGGCCAAACAGAGAGGATCCAGGAGGCTGGACAGCGAGGGTGGTGTCTTAGGTCAGGATATGGTGGGCTCTGGAGCCAATCAGTCAGCCCTAATACCAACCTTGAACAAGTCACCCACCCTCTCTATGCTCAGTCTCCGTCTCTGTAAAATGGGAGAGCAACAATCACACCATGCTAGACCCGCCTAGTACAGGCTCCAGCAGACGGCACTGTGTGTCTCCCCGCGTCCCCACGGCAGCCTTCGGGGCTGGCACCCACAGGATCACATCGCCTCCATGTTAGTGCTAAGGCCAACAGCTGTGGAGGAGTTGGCTCACTGGTACAAGGCCATGGCTGGAGGGAGAAAGGGGCAGGGCCACCTCGCAGAGCACAGGTGAGGGCTGACCACAATTGTGGGCATGAAGTGCCCAGAGCCGCCATCCACGCAAGGGTGGCTGTGCTGATGTGTGCTACAGGGTCCCAGTCCCAAAGGCTGCCCTGCTCTGTCCCCCACCACTCTGTCCCTCCCTCCTCCTCATTCATCTGTTCATTCATCAAACTCATCAACTGCCTGCCAGGCGCAGACAAACTGCTCGGGACCCAAAGTCAGATCAGACAAACTCTTCACCAAACAGAAGCCTCCTGCAGAAAGGGGGATGGAGGCTCTTCCCGCCTGTCACGGGCACAGCGCGGCTGTGACCCAGCTCCATCTGCAGGAGGCAGCTAAAGAGGCCCTCTCGGCCTCAGCCTCCCCTCACCTCTTGCATCCAGGTGCTGAAGGGCCTCTGCCAGGAGCCGGCCTTCTCCAGGTGGAGGTACGCATTGAAGAGAATCAGGCAGACATAGCGTTCCAGGTACTGCAGGCTCCGCAGCTGCAGCCTCCGCATTTCCTGCGCCTCTTTAGCTGCCTTTGCCTGGAGGACAGGACAGGGTAGGGTCAGTGTGGGGGGTCAGTGTGCCCCCCAACACACAAACATACCACCCCGCTGCCCTGAGCACCAGGGCAGGTTGATCCAACCTCAGAGCCAAGGGCACTGCCTCCACCTGACTTACAGGACGAGCAAGCCAGGGCTGCGGGTCAGGAGCCCACTTCCCACCTGAGAGGCATGGCCGGCCTCCCGGCCTCCCAGCCTCCCGCTCCTCGTCATGGAATCACAAGCACTGTCCTGCTCTGAGGGGTGAACGGGGACAGCAGGAGAGCTCATTGCAGATACCCTCCACGGTGCCTGAGGTGCGCTGAGGCCCTCCCACGTGGCAGGATCCATGTCCAGGGTGGGAGGACCCTTACTGCCACTTCCTGCCAACTCCCAATCCTCCAAGGACCAGAGGAAAGGCTTCACTCCTCTCTCTGCAGCCCCTCAGGCCTCCCGCAGGGAGGGTATGAGCGCTCTGACCAGTGGCCTGGGAGGCGCCGATGGCAGGGGTCATTAAGGCTGCATTCTTGGGGCTCTGCCATGTGGATGCACATTAACCTCCTCCCGCCGACTGACCCGCTCCTGCACTGGGCCTACTGGGTGGGTGAGTTCATCCTCCAACCTTGAAGGGGAGAAACCCCATCTTAGCCTCTGGGCCCAAAGGTCCCTAAGTGACTTCCAAAAGTGAAAGGGGTACACGTACAGCCCTCACCCTCTCCAAGGCTGGGGACAGGTAACAAGAAAGGCTACCTGGCCAAGGAGCAGCAAGAGATGAAGCGGCTGAGGAGAGGGTTTGGGAGAGGAGGTGTGAGTGCAGGGGAGACTGTGGGACATCGATCTTTTAAGCAAGCAAGCCTAAGCATCTTCATGGGAAATGGCACCAGGCCACGTGCTGGGGCGAGAGGGACAGCAAAGTCAATTAGAGAGGTTTCCCAGAGAGTGTGGGAGTGCCGCTGGGCCATGGAGGCCTGGTGGATTTGCACAGACAGAATGTGGACCAGATGGGGGAAACACAGAGGTGAGGCTGGTGCCTGGAGTATGGGGGCTGAGAGGGGCTGGCCTGGCTGGAGGGAGAATGAGGAGGGATAAGAGGTGGTTCTGCCATTCTGCTGGGCTGGATCTATTATGGAAGCCACCTGTGTCACCTAGAAAGTTTATCCCCAGGTCAGCGGTTCACAACCTTGCTGTCCATGAGAAACATGAGCAACTTTAAAATGCAGATGTCTGGGCCCCACCTAGAACAATCCAATGAGAATCTCAGCAAGGTGTGGCCTGGGCATCGGGGTTGTCAAAAGCCCTCTGGGTGACTCTCTATAGCCAGGGTTGCACACTATGGCTTCAGTACTGGGGAGCCATCGAAGGCTTGAGAGTATGAGTGACCCGTTAACAGAAGACGTATGGGAGATTTGTGCTCAGGAGGAAGGGAACTTAAAAGAGAGTCCTTTCTAGGTTCTCCACAATGTGGGGGGTCAGGGGACAGGCCACAGGCCAGGGATAAGACCCAGGACATGCACAGCCGGGCTCTCCTACAGGACACCCTGCCCACCCTGCTCCTTCCACCCCTCACAGACATGTCACCCACCCAGCACCCTCCCCTGCATGCTATGGAAGCGGAGTTTGGAGAGTGAAGGCCACATCTCCTCTCACACCCACCCCCTAGACCCACAGCAGCTCTCCCTGCTCCAGGAAAAGGACGTGGCACAGGGGTCATCCCTCGGGCACCAGGAACATCTGTGCGAGGACACAGAAAGACCCAGCCTCTGGGAGCCGGAAAGGGATGTTCGCCTCACAGCTGGGCTGCAGCTGGAAGCCCTTCCGTACAGGAACACGACGTCAGCCTACAGACATCTCCTCCTCAGCCCTGGGGTGGGCTCTGCAGCCTCAGACGTGGCATGGCCCACAGTCCCAAGAATCAGAGCTGGAGTAGCCTGAGCAGGGCCTGTGGTCCCCAACCTCCCACTCTACCTCCACGGCCTCTGCTGTCTTTGCCTCCAGGGTCGCAGAGTGGACGGTAACTTGCAAAGCCTGCCCACCCATCCACCCAGAAGGAGCTCTGGGGCCCTGGAGATGGGGGCAGGGGTGAAAGGTGGACAGTGGGCTGTGCCCAAGAGGGGCGAGGGGACTAGAGCCAGCACTGTGACTCCCTGGGAGACGTGAGTCCCATAAGCTGGGTTCAGGTCCTGGTTCTGCCATTTAAAGTCACAGGCCCCAGGTTTGTGGAGGCAGGATTTCTCAGCAAAGTGAGGGATAAGAAGGCACCTGTGCACCACAGAAAGCTCACTAATCCACTCATCCATCCAGCAGGGAGGGGCCGCTACACCGTGCCTATCACCCAGCTACAAACTGGGGATGCAAAGATGAACTAGTCACAGGCCCTGCCCTCCGTGCCCGGAGGGGATGGAAATTATTTCAAAGCAGCCAGAACAGCTGCATTCCAGGATGACAGAAAGGGGAGAGCGGGGCTCAAGGAGGAGGGGACATCCAGGGTGGGTGAGGTCTACAGAGGAGGTGGAACGGTGTCTTGAGAGGGGGAGGGCATGAAAGGCAGGAAGGGGGCCCAAGAATGAGATGAGTCCCCAGAGTACCCCCTCCCAGGGTGGGCAGAGGGGGAAGAGCTCATGGCGGTAAGAGAGGGGTGAAGGTGAGAGGCCAGGCCTGGAGTGCGTATGGAGGCCAAGCCAAGGCCTGGCCCTGCAGACAGAGGCCAGTGAGGGCTTCTGGGGATCTGAGGATGGGAATGGCCTGTGGCTGCCGCAGAAGGGATGGGGCCACTGGGGGCAGGATTTGTTTAGAGACTGAGGAGTGAACAACAAAAAAGATTTTACCTAAATATAAACCGCAGCCAATACAATGCGACCCTGCCTATCTGCAAGGATGGACGGTCTGCACCACAATGCAACTGGCTGCTCTCCACCCCACCCCTTAGGCTGCTTCTATCCTTCCCCAAGCTCCATCCCAAAGCCTAGAGCCTACTTCAAAACATTTTCTTAGAAGGAAGGAAAGGAAATCACCCACAGTTCCACTGGGCAAGAGCCATTCTAAACTACTTTCAATTAAAGAGCTCAGAGGCAATGTGCTATGGGCGTGAAACGCCCTCAGCTCTGGCTCTGTGCCATGGACATGACCACACCAGCACCATCCTCTCCCACAGCCATGGGGATGCCTGTTGCAAGAGACACGGGTAAGGATTAGGTCTGAGGAAGATTCTCTGGGGTGAGAGGTGGAGTGGCTCCTTCTGAGCTCTACTGGCAAAGGCAGAATTATCTCCGAATTCAGACCATTGTGTACAGGTGACGCCTGACCCCCGCCCCCAGAAGGTTTCGAGGGCACATCTTGCTGGATCACAGGTCTGTGATTTGAGACACACACCCATCTTCCCGTCAAGGCCCTGGTTTCCTTAATACCGTCCCATGTTAGCACCACTGCCTGGGGAGGAGGATGGGTCAGCCACCTCCTGTCGATAAAAATAGTGGAGTTGTTTATAAACGGCCTGGCAGGCCAGGCTGTCATTAGCTGTGGTGGAGCCGGACGAGGCTTCCTCACCCATTGGACTGAGCCCTAAAATAGAAGAGGGCCAGGAGAGGTGGCCGGGCCACTGGGTACTTCGGGCCTCTCAAACCTCCAGCCCACCTGGCATCGAGGTAGCCCAGCGTTGCCAGCGGGGGCTCTCATGAAGCTCTGCTATTTGCCGAGCCACCAGGGAGAGGCCCACTGAGGCAGGGCTGGGGAGCCTCCCCAGGCTACCACACAAGCAGAGCACGAGCGTCGGGGTCTACTGAGTGCCACCTGCGGGTCGAGCACGTCACATCTTGACCTGAGGATTAGACCCTAACACATTCTCCTAGCAACCCCGTGAAGGAGGCGAGACTATCCTATTTTGCAGATGAGGCTCAGCAAGGTTGTTTTTTGTTTGTTTGTTTGTTTGTTTTAGCACATGCTTAATTAACCCTTCAAACAGTAGGCATCCTGCCCAAACTCAGAGTTCTGAGCTGGGAGATGAACCCCAAGACCCAGCTCTTCCTACCACCCTCCCCTGCTTGGCCACAGTCAAGCCCACCACTCCCTGCTCACTCTTGTCTCTGTACCTTCACCCACACTGTTCCTCCTGCCTGGCCGGGTTTCCTCCAGGCCTATGATAAGCCCCCTACTCTCCCAAAGTGAAGCCGCCTGCTCCAAGCCTTTTAGCCCAACAGCCCTGCCCTTCTCAGTCTCCTCTGCCCTCAGGCCGAACCTTTCAATTAAAAGTTGCACTAAATTCCACCTTGACAGATTCTAATTGCTTCATCAAGGCAGGGGCTGTCTCAAAACAACCATAAACCCAGGGGCGGGCACCAGCCCATAACCAGGTTTACCCCTCCCCCTTCTCCCCACTGCACTGGGGGTCTGCACAGAACCTGGTATGCAGCAGGCGCTCACTGAGCACTCCTCCCCAGGCCCCTCTTGTGCTGGCTCATGGTTTCTAGTATCATCTTGAATCCAGATCCTAGACAGACTCTGAGGATTGCAGACTGGGACATGTCAGCGGCTCAAGTGCTCCACATGGATAAGGGTCAGGCAGCCCAAACCCACAAAGCATGTCCCAGTGAACCTCCTGAGTGCACCCCAAACCTGCTGCGCCCATAAGCCTGCCCATCTCCGTGGCAACTCCATCCTCCCAGGTACACAGGCCAGAACCCGGGACTCCTCCTTCACTTCGCCCTTCTCAACCCCACGGCCAATCACTAAACCCCACTGGCTCCACTTCAAAACACCTCCAGAGGCTGACCACCTCTCACCACCCTGGTCCCAGATACCCTCTACTCAGCGACAGCCCCTGGCTGGTCCTCTGCCACCTCTCCTGCCCCCTGCTGTCTATTTGCAACATAGCACCTAAGTGACTACAAACAGTAAGTGGGTGGCTCTGCCCAAAACCCTGCAATTTCTTCCTTTGCACTCAGAGTAGAAGCCAAAGTCCCAGCAATCCCAGAAAAGGCCCTACAGTCTGCCTCCTGTCCCCATAA